AAGGGTCCACCGCGGTGGCGCCCGGCGCGGCCTGAGCGCTGGGGTGACGAACCCCGAGATCGCAGCCCGCCCCAACCCGGAGCCCAGAGCCATCCTCCTCCACCGCACCTGCAGACACCCCTTCCCAGCTCGGGCGCGTCCAGGGGTTCCGGGGCCAGCGCTGGGACGTGGCCTTCGGGGCAGCCTGCAGTGACACCCTGCCGCTTCCCACGTGGCACCTGTGGGGAATCTCCGCTTTGTGTCCTCTCACCTGAGTGCGGCGGAGAGTGGATCATTAGATAGGGCGACTTGAGGCTACTTCGTTCCCTCCTGACGGTAACTGGTGCTGCTCGCACCGCACGCTGACCGACACATGCTGGTGACAGGGATGTCCTCTCATCAGGGGGCCGCTATGCAGGAAGCAGACTAAGGAGTGGGGGCTGGGCCTGATGGCGCAGGCCTGTACTCTCAGCACTCAGGAAGCTGATGCAGGAGGATCACCGTGAGTTCCTGGCCAGCCGGCACTACTTCAGGAGACCCTGCCTTGAACTTTTTTTTTTCTTTTTTGACACAAGGGTCTCGCTATGCAGTTCAGGCTGGCCTTGAGCTCACCGTGTAGCCCAGGCTGGTCTCGAACTTGCAAAGATCCTCTTGCCTCAGCCTCCTGAGTGCTGGGTTTACAGACCTGTGCCACCACGCCCCAGCTTTTTTTTCTTTCAAGTTAACTCGGATTTTAAAATAAAAATATCCAGAAACAAATGCATTTTATCTAGCAATTCCGAGGAAGAACCCAAAAGAATTGAAAGCGAGTAATCAATCCTAGGGATGCTGCGCTAAGTACTGGGATTCTGAAAACGTGGGCCCAAGCATGGCGAAGCCCAAGTCTCACTTCTTCCCATGGCGCCCGCCTTGCCTGCTGGGCTCATAGCTCCGGCTTCCCCGGGAGCCCTGCCCTGGGGGCGGAGGAAGGGGCCCCGCCCAGAGCCCGGGACAATCTTAGTGCGCACAGCTGTCCAAGCTATAATGATCCTAGGGGCAAAACACATTTTCCCCGGGTCTTTCGGTCTTCATTTCTTTTTCCTTCCTTTCCTTTTTTTTTGAGACAGAATCTCTCTGTGTAGTTCAGATTTACTATGCAACCCAGGTGCCCTCAAACCCACAGCGATCGTCCTGCCTCAGCCTCCTGAGTGCTGGGATTACAGGTGTACACCACCACACCCAGCTGGGTCTTCATTTCTGAGGGCCCCACTATCATGTAGGTTACATAAATCCGTATACTTTTCACCTTTTTTTCTGACTTTTTTTTTTTTAACGTTTTTGGTTTTTTGAGACTGGGTCTTGCTACGTAGCCCAGGCTGGTCTTAAACTCAAACCAGTGCTCCTGCCTCAGCCTCCCCGAGTGCTGGGATTACAGGTGTGTACCATCACACCAGGCCTAAATCTCAATTTTGCAAAATGAAGTGTTGGGTGGGAGGAGATGGATAGTAGCTATGGTAAGATAGTGATGTTAATGTACTTAATGGCCCTGAGGTGTGCATTTAAAATGGTTAGGAGAGTGAATTTTGGTTATATGCATTTTATTACAATTTGCATCTCTTTTTTTTTTGTTTGTTTGTTTTGTTTTTCTCCGGTACCGGGAACCGAACTCACGACCTTGCGCTTGCCAGGCAGGTGCTTTGCCGCTGAGCTAAATCCCCAGCCCACAATTTGCATCTCTTAAATTTATTTATTTATTTATTATTTATTTATGTATTTTTTTGGGAACCAGGAATCAAACTCAGGACCTTGCACTTGCCAGGACTTGCACTTGCTTATGCCACTGAGCTATACCCCTGGTTTTCTGTTCATTTTTGAGGCAAGGTCTCACTATGTAGCCCAGAATGACTACCTAGCCTCAAACTAGCCTCAAACTCTAGGGCAAGCCTCCTGCCTCAGCCTCCCAAGCACTGAGATTATAGGTGTGCACCACCGGGACCAGTTTAATTTAAAAAATTCAAAACTAAAACAGATATATTTCATTCTGATGGAAAAAATACTCCTTTGTTTTTTAATTTTAAAAAAGCTCTTAGGGGGCCAGGTGTGGTGTCACACGCCTGTAATCCCAGCACTCAGGAGGCTGAAGCAAGAGGATCGTTGTGAGTTCGAGGCCAGCCTGGGCTACAAAGTGAGCTCAAGGCCAGCCTGAACTGCATGGCGAGACCTTGTCTCAAAAATACAAATAAATAAATAAAAAAATAAAAATGAGAAAAATAAAAAAGCTCTTAGGGACTGGGGATAAAGCTCTGTGGTAGAGCCCTTGCCTAGCATGCAAGAGACCTGGGTCCAAACCCCAGCACTACCAAAAAAATCATAAGGATCATTTTGAAAATCACATTAAGAGCAGTAACATCTTGGAGCTCCTAAAACAGCTTCCCGGGTTGCACGACACTCAGAGGAGCGGATGACAGGAAATGCAGCCCCGCTAAACCTGAGGAAAGGAAATTAACATTTCCCCAGTGGTCCCCGACACTGTTTATGTAAAAATATTCAGCCCTCCGAGATGTTTTGACTTTTGGTGTCGTCCTCCCGGCGGCCGGAAACCCTCAGGGTGAACATCTTCCCGCTTCCTTTCGGCGCGGCCGCTGCCACTGAGCAAAGAAGACGCATTTTTAATAAAAGACGGCAGGGCCAGAGGTGGGATCTCGCTTTTCCGTATTTCCCGCCTCACCCGCGGGCAGGGGCTCCACCGCGTAAATCAGGGCCGAGTTGGAGCTCAGAGGTCTCTGCTTCCCGCACTGGGCGACACGAAGCCCGCTCCGGGCCGCCAGTCTTTCGCTTTCACTGCGCTTTCTTGATTTTGTTCCTTCCTGGGCAAGCGGTTCACCCCCGGCTCTACCCCAGAACCGGCTGTTGTTGTTTTGTAGAGCGGGAACCGAACCCGAGGCTTCATTCTTGGCCTGCAAAGCTGTCACTTTACCACCCAGCTACACCCCCGGGCCTTTTTAAAATTTTTTGAGACAGGTTATCACTAGATCGATAAATTATCCCACCCAGCGGAGGCGCGGCATGTGCCACCACTCGTGGCTCTCCCAGCCCTTTTTATCTTTTGAGACAAGAGTTTCACTAAATTGACCAAATTGCCTTTGAATTTGCACTCCCCTGCCTCAGCTTCCCAAGTGGCTGGGATTAGCCCAAAGTGAAAGTTCTCAAAGCATAGGATAGGAGCCATCAAATTTTCTCATAAAGTTTCCCTGATGCTCTCTACGGCCACCACCTACCTGGAAGTCATTCATGTTAGAGCACCCAGACCCTGCTGCCCAGTTCTTTTCACCCTTTTACCCTGCAGATTAAATATGGGACTTTATTGTCCCAAAGTGGCCTAATGTTCTTTTACCTCTCCCTCATTACTCAATGTCTTTTAAATCATTTGTATCAAGTTACTGTTAAACTTCTCCTTTTTACTACTTGTATTTATTTATTTATTTATTTATTTTATCTTTTCTTCCGGTACCAGGAATCGAACTCACGACCTTGTGCTTGCCAGGCAGGTGCTTTGCGGCTGAGCTAAATCCCCAGCCCCTACTGCTTGTCTTTAGTTAGGATCAATTGTTAAATCTTTTTGAACTTTGTAAACATTTTAATCCCTCAAGTTCTTCCACTTTTTAAAATTCATTAATTTAGCTGGGCGTGGCAGCGCATGCCCATAGTCCCAGCACTGAGGCAGGAGGGTCTCCCTGAGTTTTAGGCCAGACTGGGCAACACAGTGAGTTCAACTACATAGCAAGACCCTGTCTGAACTACATAGCAAGACCCTGTCTCCAACATACAAAGAAACGAACACAATCTACTAATTTAAATTATACAAATAATTCCCTGTTCTTAAATGCAGCACCCCTGGCTCCCTGAGAAGCAGGTGCCTGGCGCACAGTCTCCGCCCTGCTCCTGCAGTGGGTCTGTCCCACCGTGAGCCTGCTCTGGCAACAAGGACAGCCCGGGGCTGAGTGTGTGTGTGGGTCTCTCCGCTCCCACCCTACCCCACCAACAGTGGAGCTGCTGTGCCGCGCGTCCCCACCCCGCCAGGTACTCTCCGGGTCTCACTGGGCCGCGGGTTCGAGTCCCGCGTGGGGCACCGGGAAGCCGCGGGAGCGCTGAAGACAGGGCGGATCCTGCTCTGGCTCCAAATCCGTGGCCAGCGCCTGGCAGGGCTGGAAGGTGAGAGTCCCCCAAAGCTAGGGTGCAGAGGCACGCTGGGATCGCGAGGGCTGCAGGGCGCAGGGTCCAGGCACCGGCCGAGCTCCCGCCCCCGACCCCCTCCCTCGGCCGTCCCACCCCGCCCCGGCCTCCAGCCTCGGCCCTCGGCCCCGCCCCG